TAACCCCAGAGGTTAGCCTCTCTCACCTCTCTGCCTAAGTTTCCCAGCCTGTAAAATGGAGATAAAAAAAATTTCATATACCTAACAGGTTTCGTATGAAGATTAACTAGTTAGTGTTCTAACACTACAGTACATATTGTTATTAAGTGAAGGGTGAATTTGTTAAAACAAGATGTCACTCTTAATTTTTGTCTCATTAAGAACAGCTACTTCTGACCATCTATCTAATGGCTGTTTCACAGCCTTTTTGGAAGGAGATAATGGCATAATACTGGAAAGAATTAACAAACAAAATATCCCCAGTTAGTAATTGGCATGTGTCATAAATATAAAGGGAAGGGTAAACACCTTTAAAATCCTTCCTGGCCAGAGGAAAAGCCCTTTCACCTGTAAAGGGTTAAGAAGCTAGGATAACCTCGCTGGCACCTGTCCAAAATGACCAATGAGGAGACAAGATACTTTCAAAAGCTGGGGGGGGGAGAAACAAAGGCTCTCTCTGTCTGTGTGATGCTTTTGCTGGGGACAGAACAGGAATGGAGTCTTAGAACTTAGTAAGTAATCCAGCTAGATATGCATTAGATTCTGTTTTCTTTAAATGGCTGAGAAAATAAGCTATGCTGAAGGAAATGTAGAGTCCTGGTTTTGTGTCTTTTTGTAACTTAAGGTTTTGCCTAGAGGGATTCTCTATGTTTTGAATCTAATTACCCTGTAAGGTATTTACCATCCTGATTTTACAGAGGTGATTCTTTTACTTTTTCTTCTATTAAAATCCTTCTTAGGCTTGGCCAGTTATTACAGACATTTGTACTGCAATACAGCCAAATCGCCGCCCCACTGACAGACCTAACTAAAAAGAAACAGCCAAATGCCGTTCAGTGGACCGAAGAGTGTCAGAAGGCCTTTAACCAGCTTAAAGCGACACTCATGTCTGACCCTGTACTAAAGGCCCCAGACGTTGACAAACCGTCCCTAGTAACCACAGATGTGTCCGAGCGTGGTGTGGGAGCAGTTTTAATGCAGGAAGGACCGGATCAAGAATTCCACTCTGTAGTGTTTCTCAGCAAGAAGCTGTCTGAGAGGGAAAGCAACTGGTCAGTCAGTGAAAAAGAATGTTATGCCATTGTCTAAGCTCTGGAAAAGCTACGCCCATATGTTTGGGGACGGCGTTTCCACCTGCAAACCGACCATGCTGTGCTACAGTGGTTTCATACCGCCATGGGAAATAATAAAAACCTTATTCGGTGGAGTTTAGCTCTACAAGATTTTGATTTCGACATCGAACACATCTCAGGAGCTTCTAACAAAGTGGCTGATGCACTCTCCCGTGAAAGTTTCCCAGATTCAACTGGTTAAAATCATCCTTGAGATGTGGAAAATATTGTTAGTCTTCATACAGTTGGTAGTATATTTAGAGGTGTATGTGTCTTATTAACTCTGTTTTCTCCTAGAACTCCAGGAAGAAATCACAGCCAGCGTTTCACCCTATCTGTGATTTGGGGGGCATGTCATAAATATAAAGGGAAGGGTAAACACCTTTAAAATCCCTCCTGGCCAGAGGAAAAACCCTTTCACCTGTAAAGGGTTAAGAAGCTAGGATAACCTCACTGGCACCTGCCCAAAATGACCAATGAGGAGACAAGTTACTTTCAAAAGCTGGAGGGGGGGAGAAACAAAGGCTCTCTCTGTCTGTGTGATGCTTTTGCTGGGGACAGAACAGGAATGGAGTCTTAGAACTTAGTAAGTAATCTAGCTAGATATGCATTAGATTCTGTTTTCTTTAAATGGCTGAGAAAATAAGCTGTGCTGAATGGAATGTAGATTCCTGTTTGTGTCTTTTTGTACCTTAAGGTTTTGCCTAGAGGGATTCTCTATGTTTTGAATCTAATTACCCTGTAAGGTATTTACCATCCTGACTTTACAGAGGTGATTCTTTGTTACTTTTTACTTCTATTAAAATTCTTCTTTTAAGAACCTAATTGCTTTTTTCATTATTCTTAAGATCCAAGGGTTTGGGCCTGTGCTCATGTATGCAAATTAGTGAGGATTTTTGTCAAGCCTTCCCCACGAAAGGGGGTGTAGGGTTTGGGGAGGATTTTGGGGGGAAAGACATTTCCAAGCGGGCTCTTTCCCGGTTATATATCTGTTAGACGCTTGGTGGTGGCAGCAATAAAGTCGGAGGGGAAAAAGGAAAATAGCTTGTACCCTGGGGAAGTTTTAACCTAAGCTGGTAAAAATAAGCTTAGGAGGTTTTCATGCAGGTCCCCACATCTGTACCCTAGAGTTCAGAGTGGGGAAGGAACCTTGAGAGCATGCTTATTGACAGCCTCAGCAAAGATGCCAAAGAATGAACAGGCAAGGAAAATAAACTAATCTCTATTCCCTAGACGTGGTTCCACCATGTCAGGGTTGAGGCACATTGGTGGAGTCATCATGTGGGGGAAGCTTGCTCTGCCACAACACATAGGATTTCTGAGCCTGGTTCCGATCTCATTTATCCTAGGGTAAACCAACAATGTCAATGTCGTTACAACAGAATGAAAACAGTCTTGTGATCAGAATCAGGCTTTCAGTTTCCAGTGTTGTAATGTTATCAACACTTGATTCACTTTAAAAGGTGAAAATAGCCACTAATATTGGCAATGTTGTTCTGGGTCTCCAGCTTGCAACGTTTACACATTAATAACATCTTTGTTTTCAATATGTGACAAGACATCAAATGAAATGCCTACAATCCCACTGGTATAAGCAACATTTTCACTATGTCTGTGAAAATCTCTTCCTAAAAAAACTCTCCAGGGTGCCTATTATGGACTCTGTCTTGGATCACCAGAAGCTGCAGCTAGTCCTGGTAATACTGTATCCTGGAAGACTAATACATGCTGGCACTCTTAAAGACAAATACTGAATCCTGTTAAATTCTGATGATAACCAGCAGAAATTTGTTTATAAGATAACACTGTGGGAAGCAGTGGCAAAAAGAATACTGAGCAGTTCTAATTAAAAAGCCCTAGCAACCTGAGCAAACTGGTATTGTATGTGTGTACTAGTGATACATGTAGTGTTACCCTTCTTCTGTAAAAGTTTACTGTAATTCACATTAACTAACATTGTATAAAACATTTTAGATCTGCATTTAATCTTTTTTCTTCTGCTATTAAATCTTATTTTCTCCTATGCAGAAATACACAATGATTTTTCCAACCTATTATTTCGTAAGCGCTACCATCTCATAATAAGTTAATATGTTCAGTCACTCATGGAAAAATACAAGCAGGTAAATGAAAAAATTAAAAGATAGATTTTATAAAAATCAGCACATTTTGAACCCAGGGAGTTAGATAATTAACTTTCTGAACCAATTACTATTGTTCTTTTAATATCATGGAAAGTACAAGAAGTTTGCAAAAATATATGATCATTAAATTGAAAAACAAAACAAAAACCTGAAACCTAAACTACTCCTCCCTGAAACAATCAAGCAGAGGTGAGGTGGCGAGGGGGAGGTCACATGCTTGCCCAGATTTCTGCCAGGGTTATTTTTTCTTTTCCCCCCCAAGGGGAGTGGGTTCAGAATTGAGCCCTCCCCCATCAACAGTTACCTGTGGCCTCTGCAATCATGTCAGTTACCACAGGCAAATCTCATTTCAATCACTAGTAAAATAATGACAGGTTTCAGAGTAACAGCCGTGTTAGTCTGTATTCGCCAAAAGAAAAGGAGTCCTTGTGGCACCTTAGACTAACAAATTTATTTGAGCATAAGCTTTCGTGAGCTACAGCTCACTTCGTCGGATGCATTCAGTGGAAAATACAGTGGGGAGATTTATATACACAGAGAACATGAAACAATGGGTGTTACCCTACATATTGTAACCAGAGTGATCACTTAAGGTGAGCTATTACCAGCAGGAGAGTGGGGGGGAGGGGGAACTTTTGTAGTGATAATCAAGGTGGGCGGTTTCCAGCAGTTGACAAGAACATCTGAGGAAGGGGGGGGGGGGGGAGGGAGATGAACAGAGGGAAATAGTTTTACTTTGTGTAATGACCCATCCACTCCCAGTCTCTATTCAAGCCTAAGTTAATTGTATCCACTTTGCAAATTAATTCCAATTCAGCAGTCTCTCCTTGGAGTCTGTTTTTGAAGTTTTTTTGTTGAAGTATTGCCACTTTTAGGTCTGTAATCGAGTGACCAAGGAGGTTGAAGTGTTCTCCAACTGGTTTTTGAATGTTATAATTCTTGACATCTGATTTGTGTCATTCTTTTACGTAGAGACTGTCCAGTTTGACCAATGTACATGGCAGAGGGGCATTGCTGGCACATGATGACATATATCACATTGGTAGATGTGCAGGTGAACAAGCCTCTGATAGTGTGGCTGATGCAATTAGGCCTTATGATGGTGTCCCCTGAATAGATACATGGCCACAGTTGGCAACGGGCTTTGTTGCAAGGATGGGTTCCTGGGTTAGTGGTTCTGTTGTGTGGGGCACTGGTTCGTGCTGGACATTTCCATTCATTGTCAGACAGCTAGAAACCTGCGTGCAAGAAGGGGAATCGAGGTGCCGCGGAGAACAGCGTGAGGTGAGCGTGCAACCCGAGCACTCCAGGGACGACAGGAGGGGGACCCAGACGGTGCCTTGAGCCTTCCCGCCAAAGAGAGGGAGAGGCGGTGTGTGAACTGGAGCCGGCCAGGAATCCCAACCCCCTCCCTCACCCGAACTCCCTGGGCAGCCTCCGCCCCTCCCCCACTCCTTGCCGAAATTTCATGGTTTCCAACCAAAATACACCTAAGGGCAGCCAGCGCCTCCCCCCCACCCACCGCGCTTCTCCTACCCGCCTTCCCTTGTCCCATCACGCAAGCCCTCCGCTCAACCCCCGCACCGTAACCCCCACGGCGCCAGACACGCTCCACGGCGCACGCGCAACCGGCGCCACCCGAGGGACGTTACGGCGCGTGCTCAGTCACTCGGAGGTCTCGAGGACGGCCGGAACCGCCGCTGCGCATGCCCCGTCCCGCTTGATCCGGAAGTGGTTCGTTTGTTTCGTGACACGTCGCAGCGGAGGAGGGTGAGGGCTGGCAGCCGGGGGGGGTTCTCTCAGCGCTGCGAGGAGGGGTTGCCAGGTGAGTTTGCGGAAAGGTAGCGGCCGCTCCCCTAACGGGGAGCCCTTTGCCCAGCCCACCCCAGCCTCCCTGGCGCTGCCCCGCTCCTCCCCGGGCCTCGACCCACCCCGTCCCGGGGCTCCAAGCGGCTGCCCCCCAGCGGGAGGTTGGGTCGGGGTCCCCTCTTTCCAGAGGGGAAAGCTGAGCCACAGAGGCGTAAGCTGATTGGCTCCGGGTGACTACTGCGAGGCCCTGGCAGGAATTGCGGGTGGGCCCCGACTCCGGGCGTGCGGATTGGGGCGTCAGGGCCGCGAACGGGCGCTGGGAGCCACACGCATGTTGTTGTTGTTAGTCAAAGCTGCGCCTCGTGCTTGTAATGTTGAAAACGCAGCGAGGTTTGTGGTGTAGCTTCTTGGCTGTACAGCGCCTGTTGTTGCTTGGCCCGCTTGTTAAATCATCCCCATTGTAACTATTAATCGTTACCGGTGGCACGTTTAACTTGTGTATTAGTGACTGTGGAAAGAAACACTCCTCCTATATCCATTATAATCTACATGTTTGGAGCTCTTATGGCACTGTAAAATGTTACACATTTACACACACATAGATCACAGGTTTCAGAGTAGCAGCCGTGTTAGTCTGTATCCGCAAAAAGAAAAGGAGTCCGTGGCACCTTAGAGACTAACCAGTTTATTTGAGCATAAGTGGCTCAGCTACAGCTACAGCTCACTTCATCGGATGCATTGCACAATCTTCTAAAGTATCATGTGTATTAGAGGGGTAGCCGTCAGTATCCACAAAAACAAGGAGGAGTCTGGTGGCACTGCAAAGACTAACAGATTTATTGGGGTATTACAATCATTTTCAGAGTGTTCTTGAGTTTGCCTTCTTTCTAGCAAATATTTGTCCCTAACCACATCAACAATTTATTACAGTTGTATGATAGCCAGAGGCCAGAGTAACCCTTTGTGACTCATACAAGCTTTAATGTTCTTATTTTACAGATAATTTGCAATGTCTGGGTTTGACAATTTCAATACAGATTTCTACCAAACAAGTTATAGCATTGATGACCAGGCACACTCCTATGATTACAGTGGAAGTGGAGAACCATACAATAAGTAATTTGTACATTTTTTTCCATTCTTTAACTTGTATAGTATTAGTTTATCGTGTCTATGATTGCATTTCTTTATATGTCTAACACTTACACACACACACAAACAACAAAACCGCTCCAGATAAGAATGGCCATACTGGGTTAGACCAGTGGTCCATCTAGCCCAGTAACCTGTCTTCTGACAGTGACCAATGCCCAGTGCTTCGGCAGGAATGAACAGAATAGCAATTACGAGTAATCCATCCCCTGCCATCTACTCCCAGTTTCTGGAAGTCAGAAGCTAGGGACACCTGGAGAATGGGGTTGTGTCCCTAACCATCTTGGCTAATACCTATTGATGTACCTATCCTACATGAACTTATCTAATTCTTTTTTGAACTCAGTTATAGTTTTGACCTTCACAGCATCCCCTGGCAACAAGTTCTACAGGTTGACTGTGCGTTGTATGAAGAAAAACTTTTTTATTTTAAACTTGCTGCCTATTAATTACATTGGGTGACCCCCTGGTTCTTGTGCTGTGTAGGAGTAAATAATACTTCCTTATTCACTTTCTTCACACTATTCATGAATTTATAGACCTCTATCGTATCCGCCCTTAGTCATCTTTTTTCCAAGTTGAAAAGTCCCCATCTCCTTAATCTCCTTTCATATGGAAGCTGTTCCATACCCTTAATCATTTTTGTTACCCTTTTCTGCACCTTTTCCAATTCTAATATACGTTTTTTTGAGAGAGGGTGATCAGAGCTGCACACAGTATTTAAGATATGGCTGTACCATGATTTATATAGTGGCATTATGATATTTTGTCTTATTACTCTCTTTCCAAATGGTTCCTAACGTTCTGTTAGCCTTTTTTGACAGCCACTGCACACTGAGCAGATGTTTTCAGAGAATGGGGGGGGAAACGGTAGATGTGGTATTCCTTAACTTGAGTAAAGGTTTTCATACTGTCTTGCATGACCTTCTCATAAACAAACTAGGGAAATATAACCTAGATGGAGCTACTATAAGGTGGGTGCAGAACTGGTTGGAACACCATTCCCAGTCAAGCTGGAAGGGCGTATCAAGTGGGATCCTGCAGGGATCAGGTCTGGGTCTGTTCAATATCTTCATCTATGATTTATATAATGACATAGAGAATACACTTATAAAGTTTGCAGATGATACTGTACCAAGATGGGAAGGGTTGCAAGTGCTTTGGAGGTTAGGATTACAATTCAAAATGATCTGGACAAATAGTCTGAAGTAAATAGGATGAAATTCAATAAGGACAAATGCAAAGTACTCCACCTAGGAAGGAACAATCAGTTGCACACATGCAAAATGGGAAATGACTGCCTGTGAAGGAGTATTGCAGAAATGGATCTGGAAATCATAATGGATCACAAGCTAAATAGGATACAACAGTGTAACACTGTTGCAAAAAAAGCAAACGTCATTCTGGGATGTATTAGCAGGAGTGTTGTAAGCAAGACACGAGAAGTAATTCTTCCACTCTACTCCTCACTGATTAGGCTTCAAGTGGAGTATTGTGTCCAGTTCTGGGTGCCACATTTCAGAAAAGATGTGGACAAACTGGAGAAGGTCCAGAGAAGAGCAACAAAAATTATTAAAGGTCTAGAAAACATGACCCATGAAGGAAAACTGAAAAAATTGGGTTTGTTTAGTCTGGAGAAGAAGAGACTGAAGGGGGACATAACAGTTTTCAAGTACATAAAAGGTTAAAAGGAGGAGGGAGAAAAATTGTTCTCCTTAACCTCTGAGGATAGGACAAGAAGCAATGGGCTTAAACTGCAGCAAAGGGCAGTTTAGGCTGGACATCAGGAAATACTTCCTAAATGTCAAGGTAGTTAAGCACTGGAAAAAGTGCCTAGGGAGGTTGTAGAATTTGTCATTGGAGATTTTTAAGAACACTTGTCAGGTATGGTCTAGATAAAGTACGCAGTCCTGCTGTGAAGTGCAGAGGACTGGACTAGAAGACCTCTCAAGGTCCCTTTTAGTTCTACAGTTCTATGATTGTATGAAGTAGCAATAATGATGCCAAGATTTTTTTTTTTGAGTGCTAACAGCTAATTTAAATCCCATTATTTTGTATATATAGTTGGAATTATGTTTTCCAATGTGCATTTGTCAGCAGTGAATTTCATCTGTCATTTTGTTGTCCAGTTATCCAGTTTTGTGAGATCCCTTTGTAAATCTTCGTAATCTGTTTTGGATTTAACTATTTTGAATAATTTTGTATAATCTGTAAATTACGCCACCTCACTGTTTACCCCTTTTTCCAAATCATTTTTGAATATGTTAAACAGCACTGTTCCCAATACAGATCCCTGGGGGACAGTCCTATTTACCACTCTCCGTTCTGAAAAATGATAATTTATTCCTACCCTCTGTTTTTTAACCAGTTACTGATCCTTGAGAGGACCTTCCCTCTTATCCCGTGAATGCTTATTTTGCTCAAGAGCCTTTGGTGAGGGAACCTTGTCAAAGGCTTTCTGAAAGTCCAAGTGCACTATATCCACTGGATCACCCTTGTTCACATGTTTGTTGACACCCTTTAAAAAATTCTAATAGATTGGTGAGACGTGATTTCCCTGTACACAAAGCCGTATTGACTCTTCCCCCAACAAATTGTGTTCATCTATGTGAGAAGGCATGTCGGCTTAGAAAGGGGAAGGGAAGAGAAGTAAATGTGTTAGTGCTTCCTCAGGAGGGTCCAGAGGATCAGAGTGCTGCAGAGGTGTCTGAGTTTTCCTCCCATAGGGGTGGAAAAGGAGATTTGATTGTGAAGGTCCCTTCTGGGCGTGGGTTTTGAGCAGATGGAGATAGGGAAATTACAGAACCTTGTAATGAAATTATTCATTTTTTCTTAAATGTCTCTGTACAGTCTTGGCAGTTTCTTTCGTTGATGTGCAGAAAGAACTTATTAGCATTAAATTATACAATGTACTTACATTTACATAATGAGTAGAGAAAAGAGACCTATTGAAGAACAACAATCTGTTAGATATACATTTATTTTTATGTAACATCTATAAGAGGAGGTTTCTCAGAAGTGATTAGGTACCCCTCTGGGTGTCACAGTAGTGATCCTTTGCTGGTGAATTTTTGCAGTACTAGTTTCAGGCTACCTGTGAGATAGTAAAGTGTTAAAATCATTTTGTTTTGAAGTGTGTGGGCGCAAGCTGCTTGTATTCAAACAGCTTGTATTCAAAAGTGCAAACTTGACACAGAACTAGTCTTCTGTGACCAGAGTTTGAGAAAATTTGAGTTAGAAAGTGAAATATTACTTTCATCTGCATGTGTCATGATGGTAGATGTCATAATGTGTGCTTATGCTCTGAATGTCCTAATCCTCATCATATGTATGCTAGGAGTGGTATCTGATACAATTGATATATGGGAAGGGGGAAGATAGTCAATTTGACTAGGCTGTCTTTCAACTCTATGAAAATATCATACGGGAAGCTTAAATAATATGAAGACTTTGGATCTCCTTTCAAGATTGAGCTCTGTTAAATATAGGATTTAATACTGAGTGTAAATTCATGCTGTCATTTGATAAATTATAGGAGTGAGATATACAACTGAAGGGGCTATATTTGGATTGACAGATACCTTTTGCTAGTCTTCTGTAGGCCCAATCTTGTCATATTTCAAATTAAATGGGCTTGGATTGGTTTTGACCTGAAAATGCTACTACTTGGAGGCTTCTAAATTTTCTTATCATTATGTGATATCTGATGGTAAAAAGGTGAAAAACTTACAAACTAAGCAAGATTTGACCAGATTACTTAAATTAGAGAACTTGAGATAAGGAGTCCATAAACCCATATACCTTTTCAAGTCACACTTTACTCCTTGTGGTGCGTTGGGGTGAGTGCATCTGTGCAGCTACATATTTAGGGTGGGAGGAGTAATTAACTTCACTTTAAAAATTAGCTAAACAAGATTATATGTTGTATACTAAGTTGTTATAGAAAGTGTGTCTTATGTGACTGGGTAAGGCTTAAAAAAACCTGTGCCTGCCAGTAATATTATGTTGTTCTCCACAGACAATATAGTGGCTATGACTACTCTCAGCAAAGTGGATTTGTCCCTCCAGAGATGATTCAGCAACAGCAGCCTTACACAGGGCAGATTTACCAGCCAACACAAACATACACTCCAACTACAGCACAGTCTTTCTATGGAAGCAATTTTGAGGATGAGCCACCCTTACTAGAAGGTATAACTTGTTCTTTACTAGTCCTCTCCAAAACTGCCCCTAACTTTGGAGTAACCTAAGAAGTAAGGAATGTACTCTCTAGTTAACTAAAAAAAAAAAAAAATTAGAAGTAATTGCATCTGTCATGCTTGCCTCTGAGTTCCCCTGCCAATTTCTCACTTTAGTCACATTCTCTTATTTCTCTCCCCTGTTGGTTTCTGAAGGCCACACAAATTAAATGGGAAATTGACTGTACACAACATTATGTCAAATGGGGGAATAAAAGCATAGATTTTTTCCTCAGTCTGTTATAAAAGCTGTTATTTGCAACAACAAAAGGTTAAGTTTTTTTAATTGATAGTGCCTCTTTAATTATAAATAACTGACTTCGGTGTTTAGAACCCAAATTCTAATTTGAGGAAAGGAGTAATAAATGTGTAGGATATGTCCTACATAGAATACAAGGTGCTGGAATTGATACATATTGAGAATACTTGGACTAATGGCAGGATTTTTCACCTTCTCTATGCATTATACTCTCAGTGAGAGCTTAAGACAAATTACCTTTCCTGTTACTAAATGACAAGGGAAGTACTAAGCAAAATTTGTTTACTAATCTACATAGATAGTGTCCCATTCCTTGTGTTGGTAAATCAAATCTGTACCATGCAGAGGGTCAGTCTTAGAATCAATCCTGTCTTAGAAGCAATCCCAAGGAGTTCTGATTGCAGACTCTGGGCCTTAGAGACTAGCAGTCCCTCATTCCTGAGTAGTTGAGAAATGGAGTGCCACGGAGACAGTGCGCTCAACCGCCTAAAGGAGAAATGGAATGTCTTCTATCATTCTTTGGTCATCTAAGGAATAGTACTTGATAACCATCATGTCTTGCCTTCAGTCTGGAGCAGATTTGAAAGTGAAGGGGCAGGAAAATGGGGGCAAAGGAGAAATAAAAAGGGAAACAAATCTTCATAATTTTTTTCATGTAACCTGTAGAATTAGGGATCAATTTCGACCACATCTGGCAGAAGACACTAACAGTTCTACACCCATTAAAAGTAGCAGATGGCAGCATCATGAATGAAACTGATTTGGCAGGACCAATGGTCTTCTGTCTTGCCTTTGGAGCCACGTTATTGCTGGTAAGATACAGATTGCAAAATATTAATGTGTATCGTAGTCCAAAAACATTGAGAGAATCTAAATTATTCTTGGGGGTCTCATAAGAATCTCCATGGCCTGGAAGTCACAAAACAGGTCTTGACCAAGGATTTGTGGCTCATTAGTACATGATTTTGGGCCTGATTCAAAGCCCCTTGATGGAAGTCTTTCCATTGTTCTCACCATGCTTTGGGTCAGGCCCTTCAAGTAATGTGCCATGTTTCTTTATGTAGTGGCTTCTTTGCATATCTTCCTTTTGTGAATATGGCTTCTGTTGTCATGAAGACTGAGGACCATAGTCACAATTTTTGGGGTGGGGAGGATCAGATGACTCATTGTCCGTGGTTTTATAAAGTTAAATCTTCAATTTCTTCAATCTGGTACAAATCAAGATGTGGTGTTTGCTGTCAAACACAGGTTCAATAGAATTTAATTGTTTTATTTGCACAAAATGTTTTAATTTGGTTGCCTTATCCATAGTTTTGGCTCTTGGTACATATTCCATTTATACATTTAGTAGCTGTTTCTATCATGCCAGTTTCTGATGCACTGAAATTTTACTTTGGGATATTCTAGTATTTCTTTGTTCAGTATACTTAGTTTATTGTTGGTAGTTTTCCTTTAGCTGATTGTCTTTAAGAAAAAAATACTAATAAAGGAAATTCACAATTATTCAATTACTTTTTAAAATTATATTGATGTGGTTGACATTAGACAGGTTGACACCACCAACAATGTCAGCATTATTAAACATGATTTACCATTAGTTCAGCAAAACAATGGCCAAAACTGTTAACATTTGCTGATTGACCTATAGGCTTTGATGGGAACAGGCCTGTGGTCTCCAACCTTTTCACATCCAAGATCACTTTTTGATCTTAAGGGCAACTCAGGATCTACCCTGCCCCTTCCCCAAAACCCTGCCAGGCTCACTCCATCTCTCGCTCTCCCCCCACCCTCACTCACTCTCTCTCCGGGCTGGAGTTGGGGTTCAGGACGGAGTGCAGGCTCTGGGCTGGGGCCGAGGGGTTTGCAGTATGGGAGGGGGCTCCGGACTGAGCCTGGGGCAGGGGGTTGGGATGCAAGAGGGGGTGAGGGATGCAGGCTCTGGGAGGGAGTTGGGGTGCAGGAGGGGGCTCTGGTCTGGAGCAGAGTGTTGTGGTGCAGGGTGCTGGCTCTGGGAGGTGGGTCAGAGCTGGGGCAGGGAGTTGGGGTGCAGGAGGGGGGCTGGGGTGCTGGCTCCAGGAGGGGGCTCAGGTTTGGGGTGTGGCCTCCCACGGGGCGGCACTTACCTTGGGCAGCTCCCAGTCGGCAGCGCAGTGAGGCTAGGGCAGGCTCCCTGCCTACCCCAGCCCGATGTGTTTCCGGAAGGGGCCAATGTGCCCCTGCAGCTCCTGGGGCGGGGGGGTTGCCATGTGGCTCCATGTGCTGCCTCTCTCTGCAAGCACCGCCCCCACAGCTCCCATTGGCCACAGCTCGCCGTTCCTGTCCAATGGGAGCTTTGGGGGCGGTGTTTGCAGGCAGGAGCAGCTCACAGAGGAAGACCCTTGCGCCCCCCCGGGGCTGCGCTGCCCGCTTCCAGGAGCGGTGTGGCACTGGGACAGGCAGGGAGCCTGGCCTTAGTGGCAGCCCGCTGTACCACCGGAGATTGTGTTCGACTGGGAGATTTTCTAGAATCGACCAGTCGATCGCAATTGACCAGTTGGTGACCACTGCTACAGGTGTTTTGCCATTAAACTTAATTGGAATAAGATTGACTCCCAGGATCTCTGCCAATCTGACCTAGGGGAAAATTCCTTCCCGACCCCAAATATAGCGATCAGTTAGATCCTGAGCATGTGGGCAAGACCCACCAGGGAAAGAATTTTCGGTAGTAACTCAGAGCCCCCCCCTTTAGAGTGAAGAAAGTAACCACTTGTGTGTGTTACCAGTTTGAGAGTGAATTGAAAACTAATCTGAAAATGGTTAAGACGATAGAAAATACACTGAAATGAAAACAGCTGAGAAATTGGCGTATTGGAGGATATTACAATGGTGGGTAATCACTTAACAAAACTCAAGATTCTGTTTATTGAATGTCTTGAATTTATTGCAGTTTCAGTCACTTGGCTGATCCTGTTTCTGAACAGCACTGCTTTTGGGTCCAGAATTCAGAGTGTCACAGCCTGCTTTTCCCAGATATTTCCCTATATCTGTACAGCATTCAGTCATTTGGTACAGTTTTCTTGGTCTGTCTAAAAATTAAAGAATGACTTCCCTGTGCGTCGAGCACTCTAGTTCAAACATTTTCCTATCTGCCAATCTAATGCAGTCACGCAGCTCTGTCCATATTGGATGCATTCTTAAGCTGGGTCTCCAAGTCGTGCTCTGAGAGGATACATACCTAAATAAAATGGAATCAGATTTTTAAATATTGTATTAACACTATTTTACAAGACCAAAAATAATTCTAGATGGGAAACAAAAAACTTGAAATATTTTATGATGATGAATTTACGGTGTGCCATAACTCTGCATGGCACTTCACACACAAAATTTACCCCCTTAAGGCAAAAATCAAGCATCTGAATTATTGGTAGAGATGGAAAGAGTTATGTCACATGCAGCATTTTTCAGTGCATCGCTAATTTACATTTTTTATTTAGCCTTTGATCATTGCTGCAGTAAAGGTGCTGATAAAAAACTATTCAGATAATCCTCAGAGTAGGATCAACATGCAAATATAATGGAGTAAATCGAGCGAAGTTGATAAGATTTTTGTAGCTCAGCTAGAATTACATGTTACATAAGCACACTAAGTTTGCAGCTGGTTAGATGCACCACCTTTTGTAATTGAAAACTGATATGGTAAATATGCCTCTTAGACATTTCGGTATACAAGTACTCTGTTTGGATTGTTTGTGGGATACCTTTCTTAATCCTCTTCATCTTTATCCCTAAATCCTATGTCAGATTCATCCCTAGGTCAAAGATTACCACAATTTTATACTCTCCTTATTTGTAAAATGCAGTATTTAGTCAACTTTAAGACAAAACATGTTTAACTTGTATTACTCCTCTCATCTTTAGGTTGGTAAAATTCAGTTTGGGTATGTGTATGGAATTAGTGCAATTGGATGTTTAGGAATGTTTTGCCTGCTGAACTTAATGAGCATGACGGGCGTCTCGTTTGGCTGTGTTGCTAGTGTCCTGGGATACTGTCTTCTTCCTATGATCCTGCTTTCCAGTTTTGCAGTTATATTTTCTTTGCAGTAAGTATCAATACTAACTATTTATAATAAAATCCTGCTTCCATATATTGTGGATTTTTCTCCCATTGGGGGGAAGTTCTCTTAGATGGAATTTATATTATATTAATAATGGATTTGTCAAATGAAGTGAACGCTTATACAGCATGAACACTTATTCACTATCCATTTTCAGTTATTACAAATTACTTTTAGATTCAAATTATAGTATACTTCAAACATGTTTATTTGTCAAACAACTCAAACAAGTTGTATATCAGGATATAGAAAACTGAAATGATTTAAGAAATATAGATTAAATTTTAATTAATGTTGAGTCTGGAAAACTAAGTTAAATGCCCAGCACAAATCACTAACTTCATTACTCATCACAGAAAGCTACTTGTACAGAAGTACAAAAGAACACCTTGTTTTGAGTTTACTCAGTTCTAAACCTTTTTGTACTTTTTTTACTAGTCATTCTAAAATCTTTACTGAATAATAAATACTAATTTTATATTTACTGAAATTCCATGTACATTTTATTTAAAAACCCTCAATGATAAAATTCAGTATAAAGTTTTAAAACAATCAGCCTTTGAAGCATATTTAACTTACTAGAAAATATTCTAATTCCTGCATTCCTCTAAGGATAGAGACACACACACACCTTTTTAAACTGTTCTTTTCTTGTATGTTACAGGGGAATGATGGGAATTATTCTCACTGCTGGAATTATTGGATGGTGCAGTTTTTCTGCTTCCAAAATCTTCATTTCTGCCTTAGCAATGGAAGGACAACAGCTTCTAGTAGCATATCCCTGTGCTTTATTATATGGAGTCTTTGCTCTTATTTCTGTGTTTTGAACTGACTATTCTGATTACTGGACTTCAGTGGGCCAAACTGAAAGGAGAAAGAAGAAAAAAAAAAAGAACCCTTGGAACACTTAATTGGACTAGCAAACAGCTGTGTCGCTGCTATCATGCAAACTTAACTCTTGAATTGTCTGATGGAGCAATGGAAACCTGTCTTGTTCACTTTTATAGGACTCGTGAATACTGTTTGAATTGACCTGCAGTGTCTATAGCTTTAAGTTTTCATGCTTATACAGTTAAATATGTAATGTTTCTTTACCATTTCTACAGCCTTTAGAAAAGTAACTTTGGGGGGTTTTGGGAGGGTTGGGGGTGGGAGGAGAAGTGGGGTTGTAGTTATATTTGGTAGGTTTTCAATCAGCAAAAGTAAATGAAACTACAGTCATTGCAGTCTTTATTTAAAAAAAAAAAAAAAACCCAAACAATCTTTGGCCAACCCAATTCCTGTCACCTCTATTGCAAAGAGTTTCTCAAGCAAGTTGACAATTGCATATTTTCTGTATTTTAACAAATACTCTTTAAGCTGTTATTTATACAATGTGTTGGTATTTCAGAATTCAATATGCAATTTAAATTGTTTAATTTGAAAACAAATCCTTTAGTCAAAAGTATACAAATAAATTTGAGACTTGAAATGTGAATGTGTTTAGATGTTAGCATCAGTTTAAGTGGTTATACCTTCTTGGGTTTACCAAGATTACTTGCAGGAGCTTGTTCTAATAATGCACATATTAATGGCTCCAGGGTAGACTTTTTTCTTTTTTTTTTTCTCTCACCTTTTTTTTTTTTTTTTGCGGGGGGGGAGTATTTACTTCCAGGAAAAAAAACCCACCATTTTGAAAAGCATATTAAAGTGTCATGGTTGTCAGTATTGTAGTTATTGTAAAGGTCATTTGATGCATATTGATTAAATTTTCCCCTAAATAATTTTGAGATGGTGCTGGAATTGACTTTCTAACCCTCTTTCTGCTTTATGGTTTTGAATGACCAGAATTAGAGAATTTCAGCTATTAAAATGAAATTGGAGCTTTCACATTGGAATAAACCACAACACTTAAATAAAACAGCAATACTCTCCCTTCTTCTGGTTACTCTTTTGATACATTTGAATTAGTTTTTTACTGTGCTTAATCTTGCAGTAAAAGCATAAACTTGTTTTTGGTGACAGTCAACTCTCAGACTCAGCATTGTCATAATTTCATGGAAAAAAATAAGTAGGAAAGGGAAGATGGGTAGTGTTAGTTTATACATTTTTTTGTTTTTTAAAACATGCATGAAAGAAACCATTCTAATTTTGTTTTACACACTTGTGGTTATGAAATTCTTCTTGCTAGGGGCAGAGTCTGGTTTAAAGATTCAAATTCTGTCCCTGTTTTGGAAATATTTCTTGGTGAAATGGTGAAAGCTCTTACCAAATACAAGTTCTTGGCTGAGATTTTGCTCTTACGGTGGTGTAAATCTGGAGTAACAGTTGACTGCATTGTAGTTACTCCAGTTTTGTACCAGTGTAACTATCAGATAGTGTAATCTACTTGTACAGTTTGAGTTAAATTGCAAATCAGATACATGTAGTTTTAAACACTTTTTGATAGGACTAAAAGAGGGGAAAAGACTTACCATTCAGCTGGTTTTTAGTATTGTAGAGAGAGGTTATAAAAATAGTATATTTGAAAACTTAAGCTTTGTATGTCTGGAAACTACAGTTCACTGCTTTCAGTAGCTGTTGTAAAAACTTGTGTAACTAAAATATTTTCTGGTATTCTTTCACTAGTCTTGCACAATGAATAGGAAAGGGTCTTCCCAGAAGGACTGCTCTGTGTAAACATCAAGGCCTAGTTACTTATGTATTCCCTGGTGAGAGATATTAATACTACTCCATCTAACAGAAGCAAAGCTGTAATCTATTTTAATTTAAATGATTGTTCCACTTTTCCTTCTCTGCCCTAATAGTGTTTACATTTCAACAGTTTGCTTTCAGTTAATGCTCATGTGCCAAGGTAGTGCAGTCATCTTGGAAATAACTTCTCGAGAAACTGGCTGCACTTTTGAACCTTTTTCTGTTAAATTCAGTTGTTGAATACACAACGGTGGGTAAGTTCTGTGTTTGCAATAGGTCTTATTTTAAAGGGAGATTTAACAAAGCAATCGGGTACTAAAAGCTACTGCCATTTTCAATGCAAGCTCTAATCATAACATTGCAAGTGTCTTCTTAATGTTGCATGGATGGTGAGTTTTAAAGGGACCGTACAAGAGACATTTGTTAACCCTTCTCTCACTGTTGTGGGAAAGTGAGTTAGAGATAACCATCTCACAGTAACATCTATGGAAGCTGGGCCTGCTCTTCAGAGATGCTGAATATCCCATTCATGGCAGCTGCAGATGGGGAACTGTAGATGCTCCCATATTCACAAAAAGTAAGGAGAGAATTTTATCCTTAGCTTATCACATACGATTAATTCAGTGTGGCAGACTTCTCAAAACTGATTTGAAGTGTCATATAATACAGTATAGCTATATACTATGAGCCAGAGTAGATACACACATATATGCCTTAACTTTGAATTTCTTTTCATGAGAGTAGTTAAGATTGTCAACATAATCTTATCCTTTCAGTGCCTTATTACAAATTATCCAAACCAATATTAGGAAAATCCATTTTCTTGACTTTGCCATAAAGTTAAAAGCATTTTACTCAATATTTTCTAGTTGGTTTTCATCATAGATGGAAAAACCACAGCTGCCCCAGTGCACAAAGTTCTTACTCTGTTTAATGAAGAACATTATCTGCTGATGGAGCACAATGTCCTGTGTTTCTGCAAGTAAATTAAAATGATTACCTTTTTAAATGAGAAGTAATTAATTACAGAACCGTTCCCCTAATAAATTTCAGAGCTCAAATACTTTGAGCACATTAGGTTCTAAAACTTGTATTGCATTTTTGAGAGCTAGAATAATTAGTCCTATCTTGAATATATAAATTGGTTAATGTTTGAAAACTAGCAGTAAATCTGCAGATAGCTGGCATGGTGATTAATTATGCATTAAACTGTTTTTAAATAGCTTTTCTGACACTGGAACAATAAGAAAATGAAGTGTGAAGAAAAACTCATTCTTTTTTTGTTCTAGTCTACCAGTTGTCTTAACTTTTTATAGAAAGGGAAAACTTGAAAGCAACGGGAGAAAATATTTATAATTTCTATACCACATTTTTGTAGATTCATAAAACATAGGTTTTGACGTTTAGAGGGACACTGTCAGAATAAAACTCTCCACAAAAACTGTTTTATCAATAAAACCTAATTCACTTTTTCCATTTTACTATGGTCAGACAGTAAAATTAGACTAGTTAAATTCAATAGGTAGTTCCTGTGAACTAGTACTAACACAATTGTGGTATCAGGGTTCACATTGCTACAGAAGTGAATTTTCAAAGTGTGTTAACTGAACCTTTTTCAGTTGTAGAAATTGTAAATTCAGTTTTAAAAGCCAAACTTAACTTTTGGGCCTAAATTCGTTTGACAGGCATTACTTTCAATGTAATGAATTTCCAAAAAAGAATAGGTAATATGACTCCACTGAGTTCATTTATCCAATTCTCCAAAATGAGCTGTTTCCTATAATCAGGTTCTCTGTCACCCCACCCCTGGATTCCTTCATATACCATATTGTAGGGTATCTTTCACAAATATATAGGAATGCGTGTTCTCACACACTAACATTTGAAGCCTAAATGTGGTTTTAGCATATCACTTTAAAAAGAAAAAAAAGTTTAGATCATATGTTCTCCCCATCTTTTCAAACTCAGACATGGTCTACACTACAAGGTTAGGTCAACAAAGTGCCTTTCATCAACCTACCTGTGGAAGTGGCTTCACTTAAATTTGACACCCACTGGCGTAAGTGCCTCTCCATGTTGATTTAGGCCTAGTCTACACTGGGGGGCAAGCTAAGTCTGTCTAAGTTATGCAACTTCAGCTACGAAAATAGCATAACTGAAGTCGACGTACTTAGAGCTACTTACCGCTGTGTTTTCACTGTGGTAGGTCGACTGCTGATGCTCCCCCTTCGACTCTGCCTATGCTTCTTACTCCGGTACTGGAGTCAACGGGAGAGCGCTTGACGGTTGATTTATTGTGTCTTCACTAGACGCGATAAATCAATCCCCACTGGATCAATCGCTCTGGAGTTAAGTGTAGACATGCCCTGAGTAACACCACCTCCCCGAGCAGCATAGAGTCACAGTCAATGTAATTAGGTCAATGCACTGTCAGTATAGACACTGCATTACTTACATCAACTGTTACTGGATTTCAGGAACTGTCCTACAAAGCTCAACGCTGACAATAAAATCAGTACAAGTGCTGCTGGTGGGGACGCACACTGCCAAGACCAGGAGCCAAACGTTCACACATGCAAGATTTAATAAGTGCAGTGGCTGTATGCTGATCAGTGTTCCCTCTCATTTTTTCCACCCATGTGTGGAATTAATTTTGTTATGTGCACCAATAGGGAGGTGATGTGTGCACATAACAAAATTCACATGGGAGGGGGCTGAGGGTTGGGGTGCGAGGGAGTGAGGGCTCCAGCTGGGGGTGTGGGCTCTGGGGTGGGGCTGGGGAGAGAGGACTCCCCTCAGCTCTCTCTCTCCCTGCAGCACCACCTAGGCTGCAGGGGAAGGACAACAAGCCCTCAGTTATGTTACTTTTCTCTGGCTTGTCCATTTAAAAGTGATATTTTGACAGCAACTTTGTTTTCAGGTCACTTACTTTGAGGTACCTACTGCCTGCAATTTGATTTGTTTCTATATGTAACAACTCTGGCAAGGACTGGACTTCAGGTTATGCCTAATATAAAAACTACCTGTTCTGGATTTTGTCTTTGCCTATAATGAACAAACATCTTCAGAACAAATGTTTTCATCTACCACTAATTGATTTGGAACTTTTAAATAAATAGAGGCAGCTGTTATTCAGGAGTCATTGTTAGGACATAATTCAGCTGTCAATAAAGTCCTAGTTACCTAGTAGACGCAACTTAAGTGTCACAGCAGCACTGTGGACTGTGCACTCTGGTCAGTTCAAATTGTTATCCATAAAGACTTTGAATGGTTTGGGAGCCAGCTACTGTAGAGATCACCTCTTTCCCTGGTATATGTTATCATTTTGACCCTTTAGGAAGGTCTTGTGATCATTCTTACTCCCCTCCCACACACACACACACATCCTGTATAACTCCTGGGCACTAACATAAGATATTTTCAGAAGAGGATCTTGCACATGGTTGAACTCATTCCCTCTCACAGGTCACTGCAGACTGAGAAGTTATTTTAATATGTGCAGTAAAATGCATATGGTTTGGTGTTAGAGGAGGAAGTGATCTTGTGGTTGTGGAAAAGATTGTGATTGCAAGTGGCTTCTGGGGTGCAGCTTCTACCAGTCTGAAGGTCTGCAGTGCTGGACTATAGGAAAGGGAGAAAAGGGAAGGTGTGTACAATCTCCTACCCCTCTGTCTCCCAGCTGTCCATCATATCTGAAACTGAAATGTGGCACCTCTGCAAATGTGCTAGGAGAACAGCAAGTATCTGGTCATGACCTTGCTTGTCTTCCATTTCATAACTATCTTACCTGGCCTTGAGCCAGTC